CGCAGGCTCAGCGGCCATGGCTCACGGGCCCAGCCGCTCCGCGGCATGTGGGATCCTCCCAGACCGGGGCACGAACCCATGTCCCCTGCATCAGCAGGCGGACTCTCAACCACTGCGCCACCAGGGAAGCCCTATCCTGAAACTTTTAAACTCACAGTGCTGGATCTATGGATCTGAATCTTACAAAATTATAATTTTCACTTGAGAATTCAAATTTTATGAAGGACAACAAATACTATCAGATGTTTTCCTTGAAGTGACAGACTCATTTCACTCATTCTTAAGAAAATATCTGCCAGATACCGTCTGAACAACCGTGTTTGTCTGTTGTATGTCCTTGCAAGTAAAAAATGATGTTCCAAGAAAAAAGCAGCCAACCTATCTGACAGTTCAAACAATTGCACTAATGCCTTTCATGGAATCAACTGGCATGTTTTTGTTTGCAGCTGAAGTGCTTTATTTTTACTACCTGTTTCACTCAACCACTTGTACTCTGAGTTCAAAATATAATAAAAATTTTACTGCTTTATCAAAGACATTCTTCACTAAACCTGGTTTTTGTTTTGTTAATTTTTAAAATTACGCACATGTGTCAGTGAAACAGTTTAATGCCACTGCCTAGGTATATGCTAAAATACCAGCAGTTTTACCCTCGATTGCTGTTGTGCTACAGTGTAAATATGAAAGCAGGGGAAAAAAGCAAAAACTGTTTTGGAATTATTATGGAAACAATTTTGAGCTCACAAACCCCTTGAAAAGGGTCTTAGGAATTCCCAGGGTTACATGGACCCCACTTTGAGAACTGCTGTTCTGGAGTATACAGTGAAACGTTTAACCAACATTATTAGATGCCTCCATATTTTGGAGTCCATTGTTTGGAAAAGCTGAAAAAGAGAATGATGAAAGAGGTTTGATTAAATCTAAGCTAAATATGATCGCATTTGTTTGAAAATTGCACTTATTTCTGAGACTCAAAAAATTGCTTAAGATAATCTCATTAACCTTCAGGAAGGTGGAAACAATAAAACTGCTAATTCTCATTACTGCCCTTTAAATCAAACATTCACTATTCCACTTAGTAACTTGTTTTTCCTTTTTCTCTTATTTTATTACTTCTTTCCATTTTCCCCCCAACTTTTAAAAATTGAGTGTTTTTAGAGAAATTAGAGTTTTTTTGCTTTACTTCAAGGGTTATGAAAACATTATTTTATCATTGTGTACTTAAAGTATCTTAAGTTACAGAAATATATAGTGATGAGTGAATATCCCTGTGCTCCCACACCCATGTCTACTAACCCCTTCTAACAGTTTGACTCATTCATTTAATCAACGAGTAGTTGTAGAGCATCTCCTTTGTGCTGGGCGTTGTTTTAGGTCCTAGGGATGTAATGGTGGGTAAGGCAGGCATGTGTCTTCTTATTGGTAACAACTATCACCATAGCAGTACCAACAACAGCCCACATTTACCATGTTTGTTGTGTGCCAGATATTGTGCTTTAGATATATTATTTATTTAACCCTTGCAACGGCCCTATGAGGTGTTACCCTCATTTCACAGATGAAGAAATTGAGCCCTAGAAAAATTAACTTACTTGCCTGAGGTAACACAGCTAGTACATGGTGGATCCAGAATTTAAACCCAGGTCTAAAGCCCAGGTTGGTGGTTCCACCTGCCATACTGCCTCCCACATTTTCTATTCACTTGTTAACACATTATCTTTTTTTTTTTTTTTTACTGAAGTTGGACTGTTGTGCAAAATATTTTGCATCTTTCTTCACTTAATGATAAAAGTTTGACTTTCAGTGCACATAACAGTATTAGCTAACATATTGAAGGCTTATCAGGTACTTTTATATGTATTATCTTTTAGTATTAATTTATTTGTAGTAACTGATCCTCACAATGACCCTATGTGGTTTTACAGGTTCCTCGTCGTTTCACAGGTGTGGAAACTGAGTCCCAGAGAGGTTAAGAAACTTGCCCAAGTTATGTATCTAGTCAGTGGGAGAGCTGGGTGCAAACCCAGGCACTGTTGCCTTGAAGTCCACACTCTTAACCATATCACAACACCACCTCTTTTAAAAGTGTTCTTAGTATAAGCGTCCTATAATTTATTTAACTAAATTTCTTAATGATAAATATTTTGAGATTCTAATTATTTCTCTAACACAAATAATCCATTTATAAATTGTAATATTTATCATTGTACTATAATAATTATAATCACTGTTTGTGATTTTCAAGATCTAGGTAGTAGAGAAAAAGTAGGGGACAGATAGCTTGGTCCTTCAGGTGATTTTTCTCCTTTTAAAGACAGTTTTTTTTAAGGTATATAAGAATCTATACCCATGATATAAAATGTAAGCATTATATGTGTATAATGTAGAAAATAAAAGTCCATTATAATCCCTGCTCCAGAGATAACCACTTGAAACAGTTTATATTTTTCAAGATTTTTTCCATATATATTTGTGTGTGTATTTAATTATATTTCTTCCATACGAAATTGTAAACCCAGGAGTTTTCATGTATAATCCCTGACACATAGTAGGTATCTGATAAATGTAGAAAGAATATTACAGTTAAAGAACACTAGGATTCACTAAGATGCTAACAATGACTTATAGAGGCCTAGGTATTTTTAAGGTATAAGAAAGTACTCTACAAAGAAAAAAAAAATGATACTGGAGTATGAATTTATAATTTCTAGAGTCCCTTGATACTTTTCTAGTTCTGTATTATATTTCTACCTTACTATAATTTAATGTTTTATTTGTATTACATTATTCCTGCCATGTTTATTAATATGCCAGTTTAGTGATTTCCCAATTATATTGTACTTTTTTATGCTATATTATGCCAACAGTTTCTATTAAACTGATCAGTAATTCAACAATAATATCTATCAGTCTTTTTAGTGTATGCCTCCTATGAACCTATGCTAGAAGTTTTATAGTATATATTACATAAATATATAATCCTTGGTTCTAGGCTTCAAGAGCTTATAGTAAAGATTTCCAATCCAGGGTCTCTGGACTCTGAGGAATATTTTCAGATATTTAAAACATTTAATTAAAATTATATTTATTTGTGATAATGTCATACAGATTAAATACATAGTTTTGGTATTTATGGATGGAATTGCATCATTTTAGAGAGGTAATACTGCCTGTCTTATGCTAATCATATGCTCTAATTGGAAGTGTACATATGTGTGGATCATTGATTAACAAAATATCTAGAAAAGGTGTCTTCTAATAGTTACAATTTGTGTATAAGGATCCAGGAATTATCCTTTTGGTAATGCTTCCCTGCAAAACACTGTTGTCTTGTTACTGTTTCACTGATGAGAAAGCTAAGGTCTGTCTGACTTACTGCTTTAGGTCATTGGTACTAGGTTTGTGTGACTCCACCTGTTCAGTCTTTCAGGAAAGAATGATTGAGTGTCTGCAATGTGTCAGACACTGTGCCAGGTGCTTCGGAATGATAAACACTCAGGAGCCCTCTCCTTAAGGGTGTTTAGAGCTTAGTGGAGGAGATTGGTATTAATCAGTGAAATACAAAATTACAGTGGCAATAAGTGCTGCATGGAGTGAAGTCAGAACCGTATTGTGAAGTTCAAAAATAATCTATTAAGACTACCCTCCCTTCGGACACCAACTACAGAGTTTTGGGTACCACAAACCACCCTCACTTCTGATACTTGCAAGTTTGGGGAGTCCCCGAGACCACCCTCAGGTTCTGTAATCTGTTAGAAAAACTCATAGACCTCACCAAAATCTGTTACAGTCACATAGTTCATTACAGTGAAAGGACACAGATTAAATTCAGCCAAGGGAAGAGACACACAGGGTGGAGTCCAGGAAACCTGCGCGTGGTCTTCGCTCAGGGGAGTCAAAGCCAGCGCTGTACCTTGACTGGCGGTGATGTGTGACAGTGTGCAGAGTGCTGCCACTCAGGCTATCTCAGCCGATTCTTGGTATCGAGTTTTTATTGGCCCTCAGTCTCCAGCCACCCTGGAGGCTGAGATGATACTGTCCACCCAGAACCCACCCTAAGTCACACCGTGAGACTATCTGCGTGGCCCCCAGCCCCCAGGTAAATGAAGACACTT